AGTGTGTGTGTGGTAATGTGTGTGTGTGTACATGTATATATCCATTGTATGTGTGTGTGCATGTGTGCGCATGTGCATGTGCATGCATGCATGTGTGTGTACTATGTGTATGTGTGTGTGTGTATGTGCGTGTGTCTGTATGTGTGTGTGTATACATATATATATGTTCATATATACATACTTGTTTTATCTTTTCCTTCTCATTTTTTTTTCCCGCAAATTACTTTTTCTGAATGAATAGAGAATGGATTTTGTAAGATTGATGACTGAATTGTGCTTTAAAAAAATATCATCCCAATACATCATATCTGTAAATTTTTGTTGACAATTTTGATATCAAGCTATGGATAACTTTCTAGTTGTTTTGAAATAATCATACAAAGGCTAAAGTCTAGAGTATAGAGCCTAGAGCCTAGAGCCTAGAATAAAAAACATATATGTATAGAAGAGAAATTACTCTATATACGACAGTCAAATATACTCAAAAAAAGCCTTTGCATGCAAATATTGCCCTTCTTACTTCAGCTTTTTTTTTTTTTTTTTGCCTTATCGGATCGCTTTATACTGACATCATCCTCATTCTTTTATTCATTTTATACTGTTTAAAAGAGGAGCAAATACACAATCAGGCCTTAGGCTCAATTTTAATCTTTGCTCTTCCTTTGCTTTCACTTTTCCATTTGTGCCAATAACATTGGCCTATTTTTTCTTTCACATTTTATTAATTAAAGTAAATGAAAAAAAAAAGAAACAAAAAAGGAAGTTTTTAGCATATCGTTCTTTTTTCTTTTCTTTTTTTTTTTTTATTAAATATATAAAAATAGAAATAAGCATCAGTTACTCCTGATATGGTATGATGCTAACTTTTGGCGCAATCTTTTTCATTTCCAATTTCCATTATTTTTTCCAATTCCAATTTCCATTATATATTTTCCTAATATTTCGAATTCAATCATTCCCTTCCATTTCACTTTAAAATATTGCCAAAAAATTTTCAAAATCCTAGAATTTTTCTATGCTTATTTTCTGATAAACAGTAATACAGAAACTGTTTCTTCGAGGAAGAATTCACCGTAATATAATAATTCATAAACTATTTCGAAGGGAAAATTCCTCGTATTACAGTAATTCATAAACTGTTTCGAGGAATAATCACTCGTAATACAGTAATTCGCAAATTATTTTGACATTGAATCTTCTGCTATTTCTTTCGAAAATTTCTAACACGGAGTAATTAGTTGGAATAATTTACAATATTATTAATTCTTTTATGGGAGTGGCAATTTAATTTGAAGAAATAGATTGAACTAAATGAGCAAAATAGAAATGAATTGAGTGAGAATGAATTAGCTCAAGATACTTTTTATAATGAATTAGAATAAATCAAAATAAATCAGGATTAAATTAAGATCAAAATTAACTCAGGTTAACTCAGGTCACCAAATTTTCCTCTATTGTAAATTTCCTGAATGCATATCTTGAGAAAATATATGAGATAATTTAACATTTCAGGTATTTAAAGAGTACAATCATTTTCTTGACTTACTAGGATTACTAGGTATCAACAAAAACGAAGAAAAGCGGCTTAGATTTAAATTCACAACATTAATCAGTCATTATTCATTAATATTCATCACTTTTATAATTGTCCCATACTTAACATTCGTTTTATGATTTTATAAAATTCACAACAAATTTAAATTTTTCACTTAAAAATTTTAGTATTTATTAATATCAACATATTAGGCAATGTTTGACTTCATTGAAAACAAATTTTTATTCCATTTTTAATATTCTGTTTTTAATTTAAACTACTTGTAATACGGATAGCTAATGAAAGCTATTTCAAATTTCAGATAATTTAGAACATAAAATTGTGTCACAGTATTTCTTCAAGTCTTTCAATTCCACTTCAAGTTCCATTACGTCTTTCAATTCTATTTCAAGTTTCATTACTATTAATTGAAAAATTGATGTCTGATTGTTTATTATAGATGACATTTTCCTGATTAAATGAAAATTTTTTCGTAATTTCCTCTCGTTTACTTTTCCAATCAAATAACAATGTTTATAATTAAATAATCAAAAACTCAATAAAATATCACTCTTGAATCCATTCATTGTATCAAATTATAATTTATCAATCTATATATTAAACTCCATTATGTCAACAAAAAATCCAATAAAATAATGAATGATAAGATAACAAATGATGAATGTTAAAATAATTCAAACAATTATATCAATTTTCTCACTTTTATTTGCTATAAATTTGAACATAAAATTATTATTGTTTAATTGATGAAAATGAACGAATTCATTTGAAATTCTCATCAATTTAATATTTCTATTTGCAGAAATACTTCAAAGCTTACAAAGAAATGATATGGGATGTCGCTTCTCGAGGACGAACGATACAGAGCCTGAAAATGATCCCGATTGTATCGATTTACCTACTGAAACCATAAATCAGCCATTATTGGACAGTACCGACCATTATTTTGTTTCCAATTCTAAGACAATATCAATGTTAGATACGACAAAAGTATTAAATCGAGCTACAGTATCTGTTGATGATGATGATAATAATGTCAAAGAAATGAAAATGAAAACTGCTACTAATTGCATTAAAAATGCTTATTTAATGGCACAATGGGATATGTCATCAGTTCGTTCAACTTTTTGTAATCGAATTACATTTAAACCAAGGTAAAATTTTTACACAATTTGTAATTAAATTTGAAATCATTAATTTAAATGTTATGTTAAACATTTTAGAATGATAAAATTAGCTTTTATCATCTAAGTTAGCAATATTTGCTATCATTTAATTAAATTATTTTAATTTACTAGCTGGACTGTTACTATCCCTCATCCTTTGATTACATTTCCATCAAAATGCTGGTAGGTTTTTTCGTTTTTCTTTTTTTTCCAAATGCAAATTATTATACTTTTATGCTTAATTATCTCAAATTCCAAATGCTTATCAAAATAAGCTTTATATTTTGCTGAATTTACTTAGTGAACAGTAATTGAAAGATCTTGTTTTGAATTGGGGACAGTATTCTTGGATGATCCATTTTAATATCATTCATCTGATGGTATCATTCCCAATTCAGGCAAATTATTGTACATTCCATTTGTAAACTTTTTTAAAGAATAGGAAGAGCTTCAGCCACTGGTTGTTAAAATATCAATTTCAGGATGCCATTAAATCCAGATGTTCAGGAAACAAATACCGTTTATGTTAACAAACCAATAAAGTAATTCTATGTTATTTCAATAAATTTTTTTCAATGATTTTTAGCATTTGAAAAATTATATAATTAAATTTTATAAATTTAAGCTGAATTTGCTTTGATGATTATTATTTGAATGAAGTGATATATAAAAATTTTTAGACAGATTGAAAGCGCCAGTCAGGTTGATTTTTTTCGAATGCTCGATGAAAAAATTGCTCAAGTAAAATTTTCCACTGAAATATACCGTTGTAATGTCCGTATCGTTATGCCAGACCGGTAAAATGGGGCGATCGTAATATAACCTTTTAGGGTAAATATGAGTGTTGTGTAGAGTCATAAAGTTAGCATAAAATCTTTAGAAATCAAATTTCAAGACAAGAAATAACCGTTCTGTCGTAGGAGGTTAAAAAAAATCAATTAATTAATTCGTATAGATAGAATTAAACATCTCTTTCTTAGCGGTTAGTTGTTTTCATCTTTTACTACATGCATCTAGGATGAATTCTCAAGTCAGATCGAAATCGAATCATATTCATCGTAGTAGTTGAATTTAAGGAAACAAGTCTGGAAGAAAAAAGGAATTTGTTTCAGGGATCTGATGATTTAATCGATTCTGATGATGAGAAATGACACATTTCTCCATAAATAATCCTTTCAAAGGTGTGAAATTATGATTCCAGCCAAGTATCAAAACTAGGACCTCATTCCGGAATGCCTTTTCGTTCCGTTTGAAAATTCCATCAATTCATTCGTTATGGCTCTGCAGTTTCGTGGCGGTATGAATAATCATTATGAAATCGTTGTACAAACATTTCATTTGTGTATTCAATTAAATTGAAACTTGGCTAAAAAACAATCCCTAAACTTGTTTATTGCTTCATTACAGTATTCAAAACTTGATTATAACAGTGAAAATTCTATTATTCTCAAATGCCAGTCACCAAATGGCCAGTCTTAAATTGCTCTTCCTTCCCTCCCTTTACATTGAAGATACAAATAATGAGAATAAGAATAGAATGATTGATTTAAATTCCAAAAATTTCTCGAATTAAATATTAAGACTATTCAGTTTATGTCAATAGAACCAGAACTAAGTGCAAAATTCATTAAATAAAATGGTAATTTTGAGTATTCAAATGTGCCTTCAACTACACGTTTCCAAATCTTTCATATACTGGAGAAAAATTCCAATTGTTAGTTAAATTTGCATCGGCAAAATATGATTGTGTGTGAGACAATTTTGTATAAAAAACTATTTTAAAGGCCACACGTTACGCGTTATCTTTATTATCAATATTGATAATTAGATGGTAACCATAAATTGACCGATCAGACATTGATCTCCAACAAGAACCTAATGACGTCAACCATAAAACAAAACAATCTGAAACATATAATGTTCGTTGTGGTTATCACAGAATGGTTTATTTCCTACAGACGGTTTTTGAAATGACGTCAGCGTAATAGAAGTATGTTTTTTAGGTTCATCATCTCTTATCACTAATATTATGTAAACAGAATGCATAGTGAATGAGGTTAGAAACCATAACCGTTAACGTAAATCGGCGTGTTAGCTCGGCAAATGTTCCGTATATTCCTGCAATGTTTCAGCATGTAATAACAAGTTTAAATGCATCATTTTCTCATGCCCATACATTTGTCATACTCCACATGATCTTATTCTTCCCAACAAATCTTCATCCGGAGAAATTTGTTTTCACAAGAGAATGTAACTATTCTCCGTGCTCAAATCAAAATCAGAAATTTTCGCTCAAGCAACTCAACTATAACACTATTTATTTCTGAAAATAAAAAATTCCCTACCTCATTCAATTGAAATCCACAAACTTATGCAAAATAACTTCAAGCCCTACATTCCATCTTTAAATTTAGTATTAATCTAGGAGTCGTTTACCCTGGAAGTCAATGATGTATTTAAAAGGAGGGAAAAAAAGGGCTGTTCGATGATTCATAATCCTAATTTGAAAATACTCAGCGTTGATAATTTTTACTACTTCCTGATGTATCATAGATTTTATCGCGTAAAATTTGGTTCAATTCATGATTTCAAATATTACCCATGATAAATATTAGCAAATAATCCATTCTCCTTCTTTTTGCTCTTTTTATTTACTTTAATTTTTGCTCTTAACTAAAGTTTTCCTAACTCAGCAGTTTTTTAATGGTGCGCATTGCTGAAAGTAGAATGATTACTTGAGTAGAATAGTGATGGATATACCAGGCCGAAAGCATGGACCATTTAAATGTCATAAAAAACCAAACCGCTGTTATCCAGAGGTTTTCGTTCATCAAACCTTTATGTGTTAAATTTTGGTGCCAAATGGCTGCAAGCGTAAGACAAACGATAACTCCACCAAAACATAGCATACACAATATGCAATCTGTAAAAATTCAAGTTATAATTTCGAGTACGTATTCCAATATATCATCAGGTCAAAGTACTATTAATCTGATTCTTTGAAACTGATTTTTTCAATCACATAAAAAGGTATTACAATCATAATTTTTTTCCATGCAATAATTTAAAGTGTTTGGGTCTGTGCTAATCTATCTTTTAAATTACTGTAAAAACAAATGTGAAAGCAAGCGGCTTACTAATAGCAAAAATGAATTTAATTTTGATTTTAGGTAGCATCGATATCGTTCCATTGATATACTTCCAATGTATGAACAAAAGATTTACAGCGACTATTGAACTGATAAATGCCATTACTGTCGCACTCCAATTCTGAAAATTGTCCATGTATTTAATGTCAATTAATGAAATGCTATGATATAATCACATACGAAATTTATACTGGCTTTCATTAAATGCCTAAATGAATAATATCACTGAAAGAATTCCCTTTCATGCAAGTGAGGCAATTTACAATTTGCACTGTTGTATTTTGAAAACACCTTATTATATTTACGTCTAATTTAAGTATCCTAAAATGAAAACACAAACTTAATTTAAGCCAAGAATTATATGTATCTTTTGAGGTGTATATAATCCTAACTCAAATTAATACATATTTTTAATCTTTAATCAGACTATTTGTGGTATTGAAATGGAAAATTCTACGTGATAAACTTACTCGATAAACAATAGCAAAACATAATCCGGCTATTATTCCAGAAATAATACCTATCACTGGCCAAAACAAGCGAACTTTCATCTTGCACGTCAAAGCCATCGTTGTTCAGTTCTAAAATTTCATGTAATATAATAAGTGATAAGAATAAAATGAAACAATCAAACAGTATGGGATCGACAATAAGTGATAATTCCGATTAAAAACCTGAGGACGTGTGATGGCGAAGGGAATTATTTCGGTTTTTTTCGTGTAGGGGATGAGAGATTATCAGTTCATCGTATGCTCTCGTGAACGTTTTTTTATTTACAAAAATTGATTGAATTGATTGAGTAAACAAAGCATTGTGACACGTAATTGCTATCTATTCTTACTGCAAACGTTGCATTGTCGCAAAAAGTCTAAGTTTGATAGTCTTGGCTAAAGGACAAATAACAAGGCTTGAAATCTTGGCTAAGTCCTGTCATGAACGTCAAATGAGAGAATGAATTGAAAGGATACAACATATGAAAATCTTTAACTGAAAAAAAAAGAAAAAAAATTTACGATTAAGCCAAAACAATTCAATATAACGTTGGTATAATAAAATGTTCAGTGATGATACGCGAATTAAGACCAAAATTTGGTATATGTAAAGTAAACACTTGAAAAGTGAGATAAATGTCCTAAATTGGTCATAGTTGAGGGCATTAATTAGAAAAATCCCTTCCTTTTATAACATTTTATAACTTTATCATCTATATTTGCATGACATTTTGCATCCCTAATAACTGTCAAGTTTTTCTTCAGTCTAATTTGATATCATCAGGCATATTCTTTGGACTCGATATCTGTAAGAAGTTCAAGAATGAAGGTTTCATATTTTCTGAGTTATGAATTATAATTGATTAATGAATTCGGTGAAAGTTTCAAATATTAACATATGCTACATTTGTTGAAAGATTAATATCGGTGAAATATTTTGGGTGATATCGTAATTTCCTCCCGAAAATCGGTACCACTGGTGAATACAAAAAGGGGCGAAAATGTAATATGATAGATGAAAAAGCTAAAGGAGAAGATCGAACCATCTCATATATTCGGGATTTACCATTAAACTATCACAACTTCCAAATATTCATAAAAATTAATGATCCAATAAATCCAATCATCTCTTAGAAACTGCAGCAAGCCAAGTAAGTATTCCTCCATAGATATCGGATTTTGTCTAAATAAATAGAAAGGGAATTTTTTATTTAGTGAATACCATAGAATTGGACTGGGTTCATTCAAATGATGAAGACCGCAGGAGTCGGTCCTCCAGATTACCAAACACCTCAAACATAATACTACTACGTTCTTTTGCATCTCTGTGGTCAATGTATTTTAGTGGTTTACATGTCTTCTGATGTACGCTCGTGCTTTTTCACATTATAACATCAATTCTGGCAGTTATGTTGTTACCACTTTGTCTGCTTGACTTGCTACAATTCCCGGTTGATCGTTGTGACCCCCCAAACCCCGCACCTTCATTCTCAACTACATATCCATAAAACCAAACCTACCTGACAATCTATCATCGTGATGTAACGGCAATTGGGCAATGATGAACGGTTGATGATATTCTAGAAGCACAAAGTAGTGGGGAGAGATACTCATTCTCGGGTTGGATTTCAAGAAAGTTAACCTGAAGCATCCATGTTTATTTTTTAACATATGAGTGATAGGGACACGGAATACATTGGTTGCATTACCGGAAGTTGATTGTAACTGACATAACCGGAACCGTACGTCATCTAATATCTGTTAAGTTCAACTCAGTTTTTCGTCTGTATTTTTTGACCTATTCGCTGTACGCTCTTCTTTGAACTTTATGATACTTCACTTTTAATAGTCTTCTGGCAACTTAATTCAATAAGAACGATGACAGCTCGTATGTTTTTTATGTCTTCGTTTTTCTCGTCAATACTTTCAATTTGTTTCGTAAATATTTTCATTTTAGAATTGAACTTTTCCACGCTGACGATTTTACCCAGCATATTTTGTTTAGTTCGAAACCGTAACATCTGTTTCACTAATATCAGGCGATCAATTTCCAGCCTTCATTATCAATTACAGTTCAACAGGAACAGAAGTATTTGTCATTTTCCTGAAAACCGAATGGTTAGTGATAAATTGAAAAGATCAACGAATAAAATTTGAATTAATTCTATTATATGACAAATAATTATTTCTTTTTCTTTATATTAAATGGATAACTTGATTGCGATATCTAGTGAGATTACCTGTTACTGGAATGTTAATCTTGTGTGACTCGAAAACGGGAAAAGGAGGAGGAAGTGGAGGGACTGTGAAGGGTCATTGGAAATCTTGCATATTTTGATAATTTTTCTTATCTCACCGACTTCTGTATTGCTAAAAATTTTTTCGTTTTTCCTTGGACATTATCGACATCAACTTTCCTTTGCAGAAAACTACTAAGGCTCCAGTCGAATTGAGTTCTTGGCCTGACTTTATCGAAGAGCGTATCGCTTTGTTCGATAAACTTATGGCAAAGTACCATGAAGAAATTGCTGCGAAGGTGTTTTCCGTATTTCTTTCATGCTCTTCTCCGCAGAGAATTGATATGTAATTCGTATCATTTTCTTTATCGGTTTGATTTTGATTTTTAGCCATTATATCTCTTCGGAGCTGAGTAAGTCTTGAGCTCGATGAATTTTGCAGAAATCAGAGAAGATCGAAATCACTTTGCCAGATGGCAAAGTGTTAGGTGGGGAATCATGGCGTACAACTCCACTGATGATCGCAGAACAAATCAGTCGTGGGTTTGCTGATAGTGCTGTTGTAGCAAAAGTTAATGGCGAAGTTTGTTTTTTTTTTTAGAATCTCAAGTTTTGGAGAAATTTCTGACCGGACTGTTACATGTTCCGCTTTTTTTTAACGTGATTTTGACTCGCATTCTATTCTTTGGAAATAAGTGGAATAACAAAGTGGATAGAGAATGACTGTCAAATAGTTAAGAGTTTTGGAAACGCTAAGCTATTAGTTTCATATTCGGATTGATAGCTTGTAAAGTATACAGGTACATCCAGGATCACTGAGCAGGTTATGTGAATCTTTAGGAATGAAAGTGTGCAATTCCTAAGAGAAAATTTGGAACTATTTCGTTTGCTTTTTTCCCATACAGTTTTGAATTTACAGGTGTAAAGTTTTGTGCCGGCTTTTTTTTTTGTTTGAAGTTGAGTACCATACCACTTATCGAATTACATTTACGTGAATCATTGTCTTCAGGTATGGGATTTGGATAGACCATTCGAATGTGATGCAACTTTGCAGATCCTTAAGTTTGATGATGATGAGGGAAAACAGGTGAGCGGGTTTTTTAGCAAGTTTTTTTCTCTATTTTTCCTATCCTCTCAAAATTATGTCTTCGTTTTCTTTTTTCATGATATACTGACATAAGAATATCAAGAAGGAATAACTTTCGAAAAGGACCCTTATCACGAACCATCTTCTTCAAGTATCAGAAATCATTCGTTTTATGAGTGACGATTTTGGAATTCAAGGAACTGACTTTCTTAACTGCATTAGGATTGCACCACTCCAGATATTGTCAGAATTTCATATTCAGTGATGTTTCTGAAATCAATGGTGCGAAAGCATATCTATACAGACCGAGCAGGACCAAAACTTGAAACTGGTCAAAGATTTGGCTGTTTTTCGGTTAAACAAGTCCTTTTTAATGTAGAATAGCAAGGATAACTAGTATATCAGCATCCCGAATTTTAGGTTTTTTGGCACAGTTCAGCTCATATCATGGGTGAGGCTATGGAGCGCTATTGCGGCGGTCATCTGTGTTATGGTCCACCGATTTTAGAAGGATTTTATTATGATATGTGGAAGGAGGTTTATTGTGACTTTTTCATTTCAATATTCTCCATTCACTCTCCCTTATTTATTTATCCGTAAGTTCGAACGCTACGAAAAATTGCTTTTTCTTGGTTCAGAAAAAACTCTTCATTACTTTGCTTTTCCCGAAATGCACAAAGTCAAAAAAGAAAAAATTTTTTCAGGGATCTGCAATTACTCCAGATGATTTTCCGAAATTAGAGCAGATTATTAAATGTGTTGTCAAGGTTATACCTCAATTTTTAATTTCGATTAATTTTGTAGTTATTGTCAATTTTTGGTCATCATTTTATATATAGTGCGTAGTACCATTTGTTTTTAAACATTTTTGCTTCGTTGCTTGTAGGATAAACAGCCATTTGAGCGATTGGTTGTTTCAAAAGAAGATCTACTGCAAATGTTCAAATACAATAAATTCAAGGTATTAGCAAATTTTTTTGTAGGAAACTGTCTGCCATTAGTCGCTAATTTTTCTTTCTGAAATTATTTCATTATTGAAATGAAACTATGAGATTTTTTCGTTGTAGGTCCGTATCATAAATGAGAAAATCACAACTCCTTTTACTACTGTATATCGTTGCGGGCCACTGATTGATTTATGTCGAGGTCCGCATGTGCGTCATACGGGGAAAGTAAAGGTAACCGTGGAATTTTCTTTTTTTTGCAAAGTTCTTGCCATGTAATTAAGTGGTTTCAAATTTATGTATTAAGCGTTTAATCTGGCAAATCACACAAGCGTGTATGAATTTACTTAATTGTATTGTGCGTAATGTTTGATATTGTTTGGTTTTTATGAACGGCGAATGATTTCGATTCTTCGAAAGAAGATAAGATACAATTGATGATTGAATTTGCACTAAACAATTAACTTTGGTATTTCTATGGATGTGATTTAGATTTGCCGTTGTTCCAACTTTAAAAGAGCTTTAGTTATCATTTCACATCAGTTTTATTTAAGGCTTTATCTGTGATTAAAACATCGAGTTCATACTGGGAAGGACGATCGGATGCGGAATCATTAATTCGCATTTATGGAATATCATTTCCTGATTCGAAGCAACTCAAAGAATGGCAAAGATTGCAGGTTAGTTCCATCTTGTCATGGAAATTGGAAGATTGTGTAGGTGATGCTTGATGATGACAATGATTGTCATTTTTTTGGAAAATTTTGAATTAAGATATTTTCTCATCCTGGAAAGCTGGTTTAAAAATGTTTACTGTTTTTACAAAGCACATGTTTTCGCGTTTTCTCGAAACTAACAGAGATGAACGTTCAGAAGTGTGCAAAAGTATCTATTAAAATAATGAGAAATTCTCAGTCTTAACTCTGGCTTCCAAGGATTTCAGCCGGCAGTGATAACACTGAGGTACATTTGGTGATTGTAATTGTATCAGTTTAACTTGGAGGTCAAGATATAATCACTTTCCGGCATCCCAATGTACCACTTTTCTAAAAAGCATTTTTTTTTTCCGAGATTATGTTGTTTGTTGGCGGTCCAAGCTTTGAACAGTGTGATGAGTGGATAGCATTTCTAAAGGTGCCAAAAAAGAAATACTGCCTGAAATGGGAGTTATACGGGTATTTCTTTCAGTATTGCACTAGAGCTCCAATGACTTTAATGGTTATTTTATTATGAATGTTGGGTCTTAATTTTCTTTTCCAAATTTTTTAAGGAGGAGGCAGCTAAACGAGATCACAGGAAAATTGGACGTGACCAAGAACTGTATTTCTTTCACCCATTGAGTCCTGGCTCAGCTTTCTGGTATCCAAAAGGAGCTCACATTTACAACAGTCTGTGTAATTTCATTCGTAAAGAGTATCGCAAACGCGGATTTACTGAGGTTTCATCATTCACCGCTGTTTAGCTCGTTATTAAACTTAAAATTTCCCCTTAGCGTCAGTAAATAAGGTTCAATAGCAGATTAATACAATAAAATGATTCATTCCAGCAGTATTCAGAAATTCATGTAATACTTTTAACATTCAATCTTGAAAACATGCTGAATCATACACGATTGGACACGTTTCTAAGCATTTCAGACGATCCCATTTAATGGCCACTTGGATTAATTTTATTTTGTTGCCAAAACATTTTTTTTTCTATATTTAGGTTATATCACCAAATATGTACAATAGCAAATTATGGGAGCAATCAGGACACTGGGAGCATTATTCGGATAATATGTTCAAGTAATTTTTCTCAATAATTTTATTAAAGTGGTAGTCGAAACAAGTTTCGGCAACAGAGTTTTTTCTCAAGACAAATTCGAAATGAATTGTGTTTTAGAATCGATATTGAAAAGGAGACATTTGGACTTAAACCAATGAATTGTCCAGGGCACTGCTTGATGTATTCACACATGCCGCGTACCCATAATGAATTGCCTCTACGATACGCTGATTTTGGTGTTTTACACCGGTAGGAGATTTTGAAAATTTCTGAAAAACGGTATATTATTCTCGTGAGAACTTAATTTTTGAAAAAAGAAGATATTCAAAAAATTTGATTTCGAATATGGCTAACTTGATTGATGCCACCGAACTTTTTTAAACTGATGTCAACTGACTTTCCAAATACTTTGGAAGCTGATGTTTGTGGAAAATTCAGGACAGCCTTAACTGTTTTACATTTTGCTTGATAAAATTTGGTAAACTTGAAAAAAATAAGAAAAATAATGGTTATTAAAGAAAAAAAACGGTTGAAGAAATAACGATTATCTTTCAAGTAATGAGATGAGTGGTGCACTTACTGGTCTAACTCGAGTGCGACGTTTTCCAGCAAGATGATGCACATATCTTTTGTCGTCAAGACCAAGTTGTCGAAGAAATAATGGTAAGCTGCGAGAAATTTTTCACATTAATAACGATATTTAATTGAATTCTTGATTTCTTTCGAATCTTAATTTTTATAATTCTTAAAATTTTTTGATCACTGTATGTTTTTTTTGCTAACAAAAATTTTCTATTGTAGAACTGTATCGATTTTCTCAAATACGCTTATAATGATGTGTTTGGTTTTACATTCAAACTTAATTTAAGCACCAGACCAGAGGTGGGATACCTGGGTGATATTGAAACGTGGTAAGTAATTCTCATTGTCACTTTTTCCGTAATTTTTCCTCACTTTCGACTCGAGCCTTTTATTTCTTATCGTACTATGTTTGCTTCACATCAAAAACATGATCAGGTAGATTTTTTGTTTGAATATTTGTTGTTTGAACAATCAATTTTAGTAATGCTGTGCAAAGTTAGTCTGTATTTGATTACAGGAATTCTGCGGAAGACAAACTGAAAGAGGCACTGAATGCATCTGGGCACAAGTGGGAGTTGAATCCTGGTGATGGTGCTTTTTATGGTCCAAAGGTTGAGTTAATTTAAAATTATAGACTTATGAGGGGCGTGATGTTAAACTAAATTTAATTTTATTTCCTGTTTCAGATTGATATCACAATTCAGGATGCTCTTCGAAGACTCCATCAGTGTGCAACAATACAGCTTGATTTTCAGTTACCGATCCGATTTGATTTATCTTATTTTGAGTAAGTTCATTGCATTTTATTTCCAGATGAAAAGAAAAAGTAAAAAAAAACCGAAGTAAAAATCAGTTCCATCGTTTAGATACCGTTTGTAATCGGATTATTGGCTCCTCTAACTAAAACACTTTTTCTTCGTATCCCTGTGTTTCGTTTATCTGGAGCAATATTAAACGCCCGTTTTCCTGGCGTCATTCTTTCATGTTTATTTTGTAGTGAAAAGAAATACAATAATTTTTGTTATATATACAACTGAGTTTTCTAGTGAAAACAGTGAGAGGCAAAGACCAGTGATGATTCATCGCGCTTTGTTAGGTTCAATAGAGCGAATGACTGCCATTTTAGCGGAGAACTATGGTGGCAAATGGCCGTTTTGGTTGTCACCACGACAGGTGAGCTAATAGTCACGTTTTTTTCTTTGCTAATGCCCGTAGTAAATTTACAGTGGTATTTTTCGAAAGTCTGATTGAAGGTATAGAGTGATATAGTTAAAGATGCTAAATTTCGTTTCGTACCATTGTAGTATATTTTCCATATCTCTGGCAAATTGTCCTTATGAGGAGATTGTCACTGAGAAAATAACGACCACTTAAGTGAATTTCAATCACTATTCAACATTGTCAAAGATAAAATAATATGAATAAAATGATATGTTTATTTTTTTTCAGGCAAAAGTGATCACAGTCCATGAATCCCAAAATGATTATGGTCGAGTAGTGCAGAGAAAAGTGAATATTAGCTTCTTTTTTTTAACTTGTAGCTACTTTTTTAAATTTTAATTTTTATAATCTCTGCGAAAATTGGATTATTTGCTAGTAGTATGACGGTGATTTATTACGTATCCAAAGGTTATAAATAGGAAATATTTGTTCAGCCATTATAAACGCATAGAAACTTTTAGTATTTCATTGGAACTTATCCGAAGTGAAATATTTTGATCGTTTTGTTAGTGAGGCATAGAGAAACGCTGCAATCTTTGCGAAAACAACTGTAATCAAAGCATTATAATCATTACCGTTCGATGAAGATTTACTTTGGGATTTTCTATGCTTTACAATTTCCTAATCTGCAAATAAGACATAAGCCAACAGGAGTTGCTACTGAAAAAGAACTTGCCTGTGCTTAACCTTAGATTAAAAACTTATTGTGCCTTTAAAACTGTTGATATTTTTGAATACATGATCATCTAGTACTGATGTTTTAAAATTGCAAAGAATTGTAAATAATATTCGAAGTTCAACTATGCTAGGTTAATAATTGCAGATATATGAAGCAGGCTTCGAAGTTGAATTTGATGCAGATTCATCAGACACATTGAACAAACAGATCCGCAATGCTCAACTTGCTCAGTTTAATTTTATTCTAGTAGTCGGACCAACTGAAGCACGCAATGGAACTGTAAATGTTCGTACGCGTGATAATGCAGTAAGTCTTTGTGTGTAATTTTCGAATAATTAATTTTCCAATAATTACTCAGTACATAAGATGAAGATGAAAAATCATTTCCTTAGGTACTCGTAATAATGTTTGCGTTTTATTAGGAGATATCTATCTCCCGAATTTAGGGATCGAGCAAGCATTATATCCAGGTAAAACGTCTGGATAATAATACCACTGTTTCAGTGAAATTGATGTACTATCTTCTTGCATGGCTTCTGGAAGGAAATGCCTTTTCTACCAGTTTTGTTTTTTGCAGGTGAGAGGAGAAATAAAATTGGAAGATCTTATCGAAAAATTCAAACGTTTCCAAGAGGAATATGTTCGTGATACAGAAAGCGTGGAAGAGTTTTAAAAATCTATCTTCCATAAACAATTTTTGTAGTTTGCATAAGTCATAATATCCTGGCAGAACTAATTCCGGAAATTACAGTTTTAAGTTTCCCAAAAATTGGGGAGATCATTTATGGAAAAATTGTTTTGGCGTTTATGTGGATTTCCGAGCTTTGAAATAGCATCTAATGTAACATAAATGTCTGCTTTGTTTTTCTTCTTAATTTATGTTGTGCTGTTATATTGTTGGGTCACTATCTTTATGGAAAAGGTTTCTATATTGGAAATAAATTATTGTAGAAAATGAAAGGTTTTGGTTCATTATTGTAAAGCACTCAGCTGTACCTCCACCTTTTCGACATTGTTGTTCGCCCTTATTTTTTTAGTTACATGAAACATTGAATTGTTTAGTAACATATCATGTTCGTATTCTTGGAATTTTTTATTATCGAGGTTGAGGTGGAAGTTTCACTCTTGTTTATTTGACAATTATGGGAGGAGCATAATTAATAGCATTATTGTAGACAGAAATTTTCGGGAAGATGTGGGCGACAGGAGGGTTGAATTTATAATTCTAACTATATATTTTATCAATTTTAAATGTAGATTCTGATGTACTATTGGTATTTATAATTACTGTATGAATAATCTGTATATGAGCAAGATTGAAATAAGTAATATTAGAAGTGATTTCCGATTGCTCTATACCATATCAGTTTGTATATCGTATCAGTTTCATAGTGATTATGACATTCTTAATAATGCAGAGGAAGACAGTACTAGTGAGGAACAAGTGTACTTTTCTGCTTCATTAGTAGATGGAATTCTACATGCAATTAGTTTTGTTGAAAAGATTAGTGGGAATTGTCTGACTCAAAATTCAAGAAAATGAAATGATTATTTTAAAAATTGTTATAATTTCTTGGAATATTGTAGGGATGTTAGGAATCGATCCGCATTCAAATGCACATCAATCACCATTATTTCATCAGAATAATAAAGATGGATTTCATTTGGGACATTTTGATCGTTTCGTTAATGGATATGGAGAAATTTTATGCTCCGAAACTGGTTTGCGATACATTTTCGGACCGGAATCAATTGATCTTGGACCATGTTGTAATCCGTGCGATGAAGATTGGATAAGGATTCTTAAAAATGGTGATTTCGGATATATTTTGAATCTAACATATGTACTTTGATTAATGTAGGTTGCACTGTTGCTGTTTACTTTATTCACTACTAGGTGTACATTTAGTGTATTTGTAAATTATGTCTTATTAAACCAATTGGTAAAACTGTCAAAAAAACTCAGGATGGATAATTAGACAATAATTGCACTTTCTTGATTGTATTCAGCGAATGTGATGTTTATTTTGGATTATATCAATTTCTTCACAAAAAACGGTTCTGATTTTAGGTAAACTTTTTATAAATAAATTAAGGTACCAAAACGTAAATTATTACTTAGATATTAAAATTTAGTGGAGAATTTGGAAGCATTAGTCAGTCATTTATTAGGAAATAGCGTCTTTTTAATAAAAAATGTCTAATTTCTAAAATGTCTAGTTCTTTAATTCATGCAGACTTGTTTTCGGCTTGCAGGTGTTCTTTTTAGAGGATGTTTTAGTCTTCTCTCGAGGATACACCTACTCTTGTCGAGATGAATTTCTACAAACCGCTAAACAGGTCATAATTCCGGAAACACATAATGATCGTGTTAGTTCCGTTTTCATTAATTTGTCGTTTAAAAGTTTCCGAATTGAATTTTGAATATGAAATTCAAGCGTATTTCTTGATTTCAAATCTTTTACATATATATATATATATATATATATATATTGATTCATTTAACCAGACTGAAGATATCATTGCAGTTGTGAATACAGTGCATAGTTTAAAAAAAAAAAAAAAAATTGTAGGGTTTTCTTGGTGTAGTATTACGTGAGCGTCATCCTAGTTCAACTGAAGGTGCTACAGCCGCTTTTCTATGTCCACCCTTTGGTATTATCAAATTGCATAAATTTGCATTTGGTTATAATTCCCATATTTTATGGCCACCAGTGGTTGGTACACGGTTCTGGGTCGTGTTGGATGAGGTAAGTCATTTTTTAGTAACGAATTTAATATATGCCCAAGTGTTTGAAGTCATTCAGTTTTAATGAGGATGAATTTAAAGTATTCATGTTGGAAATTTGAAACGATTTTTTTTTTTGTCTCAGTCAAAATGCTAAAATTGTTTGAATAATTTCTTCATTTCCTTTTCCCTTCGTTTAAAATGATGATGATTATAATTGTTATTATAACTCTTACTATTATGCACATTCTAACCATCAGCACCATTATGTTATTGTTATGTGATAAATATACAAAGCAATCTATAATGTGTTGAATTACATATCGAAAGTGTATAATTTACTGGTCGGAATATTTCTAAAATTAATTGTAACTTTGCTTCTTAATTCTCGGATGTTATTTTGCAGAGGCAATCCACAAATAGAGTATGGAAAGTGGATGGTAAAGCGGATGACGTTGAATTTGGTCTTGGAGGTACACTAATTAATATACCAAAGCTTCATCTGTGGCAGTGGAATAAAACATTCAATGAGTCGGGTATATTCTCAATTGCAGATTTCGTTTCGAAAAGTTTGTTTTATGGTTCTTTTGTTTCTTTTTTTTCATTTTATGGTTCTTTTTTTTTCTTCAATGAGTTTAATGGTAGGAATTACTCATTGGATTTTTGTAAGAGTTAATAAAAGCATTTATAGTGGATAAATTCCTTTTATTATTTATTTTGGAAGTAGTATCTCAACAAATTTTCAGCTGCTGAAAGTACGGCCCCTTCAAATGAAAGCGAGAACAAATGCCAAGTTAATTCAAATATATCAACTACAGTCTGTGCGACTACTGAAGTCGCCCAGAATTATGAGCGGAGGGAGATTGAAGACAACAAGAATGCAAGAACTAGTCGTGCTGCCATCAATTTGTTACTAGAAATACTCAATGATCAGAACATAAGAGATCTAGTTGTTGAAAGACATCAAGAAGCTTTTGAGAATTATATAATTGAAACATTCCATCGGTAAAAAGGTTCAAGTTTGTGAGTGCTTTTTATTGTGATTCAGTTTTTTTTTCTTTCTGAATTGTTTGTGTTCACTTCTCTTATATGTAAATTCTAACCTCGATCATGTTTAAAGGAGCCTTCACACTGATCACAGTAAAATTCATTCCTACTCAATTTGGACTTTCTTTCAGGACTCTCTTTTTCAATATCCCATTTCTGGGATATTTGATTTTACCTTTCAAAAAAAAGGACGTTGTGGAAACTTAAAATTTTTGAAAGTAAAGTTTAGAAGTTAATAGATTGGCTACTTTGTCATATTTTAAGACGAAGTCTAAAAACTTCGTGGAAGATTCAATTATTCTTCAAAATTATATGTATTTATTACTGATACCGCATAGCTTGTAGAAAATAGCAGAAATTTTATATTTCTTTGGTGGTTCAATGACAAAAATTATAAAATAGTAGTATTTGCAGATTAATTGTTAATTTGGATCTTTCCTGTATTTATAGTAATTACTTTTTTTTTTATTTTTTTTACTTTCCTATATTTATAATTGCTGCAATTACTCGGAAGCCATTATCATCCATGCATCTATCATGAAAACAATAAGCCAAACCAAATTATTTGTAAAAATAACAGAAAATTCTTACATCTTTCGTCGAGGAGAGATGTAAGAATTTACCTTTCGTCGAGGAAGGTATCCACAGTGCTAACCAAGAAGTAGTACTATTATTAACTTGTTGTAAAACGATGAGCAAGTTAACATGTGAATGTTTTAATTATTGATTAATTTGTGAAATGAAGTAATTGGTCATTGCATATGGATTTATATACCCTGTGCTAGGGAATATTATGAGCGAATCAGTGAAATATCTCGATTATCTTTTTGTTTATTTGTTTTTCATTTCATCATCTTATCTCTAATACAGTGTTTGTTATTTTATTTTACTTTTAACACTTTCGTTTTTGTATTTATTTATAATTAAATATAGTTAGTTATTCAATAATTTTCCTTAAATTTCATCTATTAAGATTAAGCGTAGTTTTGTACAAATAGTTTAAATGAAATGATAGATTGTATTATTGTGAATTTGTTTTGTGGGGAAACTCACAAATTGCAAATTTTGCTTACATAAACCAAAATACTGCGAAGGAAAATTATTAAAAATTGTCAAAATTAAGATTTTAATGCTCAAAATTTGTCTATCATTCAAGATTGGTGGAAGCTGATATGTTGAAAATATTTGGTACTAATAACTGTTATCGAAATG